AGGAGCCTTAGTTTCACGAGAACTCCAAGCATATTAAGCCTTATTTTTATCACCTGAGAAATGAGGTGAGATTGAAAGAGATCATCGACATATCTATAGATTTGATTATTGCAGACCCTCTGACTGAGGGAGTTATCCCCAATGTTTTTGTAAAACATGTGAGAGAGATGGGGATGAGAGAATGTAATGCCTTCAAAGGCTAAGTGGGAGATGTTGGGTTTATGTGGCCTTTAAAGGCCTTATGAGTGTGTATTGAAATACTTTTATAGTGAAACATAAACTCCGTAGGAGTGTAGTCCCTAGCGGACCATACTAAGCAAATGATGTTTGCTTATATCGGACTGTGCTTCTCGATCTAGGCCAGACGGCTGGAAAACTCAAGGTACTTGGGCATAAATAATTAATCGAGGAGGGTTTTGGGTTAGCCCTTGATGAGGTCGGAGCTTATGCTTAGATGAGTGAGCCGAGGGACTGTGTGACACTTGTGTATGATAGTAGGCTTACTGAGACGGGACCAAAACCTCATCCATGTTCCATCACACAGCACGCTTATTGACATATCATTCAGGAAAGCCAGATATCCACCTTTGGGTGAAGTGTATGCATGTGCGAGAGATACCCCTATGCACCATAAAGCTGTGGTCGCATCAAGTCACGGTGACCGTGATTCATCTCTAGGGGAAGACCTGTAATCCACAGACTGGGATTGCGACTCCTTGATTCTTCGACTTGACTTTGGTAACCCGCTAATGAGCCCCTACTTGGACTGTGGGTCATAGGAAAATACTAGGTTGGTTCAATAAAGCTAGTGTGGTATGCAATCCACTATAAATAGGTGTGATCTCACCCCAATCTCAACACAACCTCTCTCTCTCTCTCATAACATCTCTCTGACCTCTCTCCTCCATCTTTCCACTCTCTCTCCTCCATCTTTCTCTCTCTCCTACATCTTTCCACTCTCACTCCTCCATCTTTCCACTCTTCCATCTTTCCACTCTTCCATCTTTCTCTCTCTAATTCGCTCTCTGTAAATTTTAAGTGGTACTTTCTCTCCTCTCTAGATCTAAGTTAATTTGGGAGTTAAAGTTTTAGCAGAGTTTTTAAGGGGTGATCATCTAGTCTGGCCAAAATCAACTATCCCGGTTCGAGATTGAAGCTAGACCACAGATCTCGTGCCATTGGATGTGATGACTCGGTGTGGGGTGTAAAAAGCCTGATTGAGGTAATCTCTGGCATCTTTTCTTTTTATTTGTTAAGTTCTTTTATTTTATATTCTCAAGCATAGTATTAGGTTATATGAATGGCATCAAGTAGTTGAGATTTATTTTTTTTGGAATTTCTATTGTTTGTAATAAGACCATCTGCTAATGATCTAGTTCTCTAGATCTAAGTTAATTTTTGGGGTTAAAGTTTTAGTAGAGTCTTTAAGGGGTGATTTTCTAGTTTGGCCGAAATCAGTTATCCCGGTTTTAGATTGAAGCTAGATCACAGATCCTGCGCCATTGGATGTGGTGACTAAGTGTGGGGTGTAAATAGCCCTGTTGAGGTAATCTCTGGCATCTTTTCTTTTTATTTGTTAAGTTCTTTTATTTTATATTCTCAAGCACAGTATTAGGTTGTATGAATGGCATCAAGTAGTTGAGATTTATTTTTTTTGGAATTTCTATTGTTTGTAATAAGACCATCTGTGAGTGATCTTATTGCCAAAATTATAAGGGGTGATTATTATTTTTAAAAAAAGAATTGTATTTATCCTACAAAATACAAGGAAGAAAAAGGAGTTGGGGCCGTTTTCTTCCTCGTAGAGGAAGAAAACGGAGTTGGATGGCACCCAAGGGAAGAAAAAAGAGTTGGATGGCACCCAAGGGGCTCGAAGATGAGACGTCCAAGAAGATTTTGAGAGTCATAACCAACTGCACCACGAAAAAATAATGTGCTTTTGGTTACCGTATAAACATTATAATCATTTTGCACCCATGTGGGAATTATCTCACATCGAAGATTTAATCTAAAACTGCATTGTATAAATGCTTTCGACATTGCGTTGGTTACTTAGCAGGATTAAGACACATGCGTGCCTGATGTGTGGCAACAAATATGCCCTTGAATTTTAAAAAAATTTCAGACTTTACCCCTAACCTTTGAAATCGCCTCTGACGAAATCGCCCGTGTCACTGTACCGACTCACCAAGTTATCGCTACGAACCCAGCCGATTCTCTTTAAACACTTTGAAATCTCCCATGTCACTGTGTCATTGTACCGACTCACCAAGTTATCGTTACGAACCTGCTTGGTTCTCTATAAACACTTTGAAATCTCCCATGTCACTGTAGCGACTCGTCAAGTTATCACTACGAACCCGCCCGGTTCTCTTAAGACATGGGCGATTTCACATATTGTGATGGAATCAGGTGCCGATTCTCGAGTCGAACCGGACTCGCACTTTCCACTCTATTCTCTCTAGACAAGGGCGATTTCACATATTATGATGGAATCAGGTGCCGAATCCCGAGTCGAACCGGACTCGTACTTTTCAAAATTTATTCCACAGTACTAACGGGAAAGATGGTGACCTCACCATGAGGCTTGGCAATACTACCGCCAAGGCCCAGGCCATTCTCTCTATAAAACATAAAATATTGCATAGTTTCTCTTTTAAGAATTTTCAGGTAATCTTTGGAAAATACAACTTGATTAAGCCAATCCAACTTAAAATTTGAGATCGTTTCTCTTTCTAAAAATTTTGAGATAGTTTTTCTCACTAAAACTTAAAAGTTGAGATCGTTTCTCTCTCTAAAAATTTTTGAGATAGTTTCTCACTCAAAATTTATTTTCATCTCCAATTATAAAATTTAAAACTTCAAAAATAGTGTACATTGAGCACATTTATGAATATTTGATTGAATACCTTAAAAATTGACGGTCTAGATAATGCATTACAAGATTACAAGATACTTAAAATCTATATTTTTTCTCATGTCCATACATCATGAGGACGAGATGATTAATTTGAGAAATTTTGAGCATCAAAACAACCTCTTCTAATGAATTATTTAGGCGTGCCTTAATTTTTATATAAACATCACACCCATATATAAACATTTTTCTATTTGTATACGATGGAGATGGATTTGGAGTCGGGAGATTGAAAGCATTGGACGGACCTATGCAAGAAAACATTTCGGTTGCTTTGTGAGTGGGCATCCGATATGCATCTCCGGAACATGTGAGTAGGGTTGGCAATGGGTTGGGTGGCCTGGCCCGGCCTGAAAAAGTACATCTGGGCCACAAACGGTGGCCTGAAGGCTGGGCTAGGACCAAGGCCGACCCGCCTTGGCTCTACCGGGCCCTCTTTTATTTCTTGTGTTTTCTTTTTTTTTTTCATTTGTTTTTTGCAAGGCCTAGCGAAGACCGGGCTTGTGCCTGCTTTATGGGGACAAGAGTCAAGCTAAGGCCAGGACTGACCTGGCCCAAGCCCGGCTCGTTGCCATCCTTACACATGAGTGCTCTGTGGAAGTTGGCTATTGCATGTACTCGTTGGTTAAGTGCTTTGTGATTTCTTTCTTTTTTTCTTATTTTTTTGGATGGTTTTAGTTGGGATACCGACATAAAAGGATTGTGGCCCATGTACCCTAATCAAAGTTAAAGTGGTTGGGTTGTATACATGTGCTCTATATGAATGTGTATTTGAAATGTATGGTCCAAATAATGTGCTACAAGATACACTACTTCTAATGCATGAGCTCTTTTTTTTCCGTATCCAATAGGGCCTAAATGGGGTTGATTAATTTGAGAGTTTTATGGCGCCAAAATTGTATTTTCTGGCAAAATATCAGGTCCAGCCTTTAAAAGCCATGGCCTTATGCTCAACGTTTTCAATTTTTTTTTTCGCCTTTTGTAATTAAGGTTGTGATGAGTCTGTTGGCTCTACTATTTACAGGCATTCGCCCTCCAAATCCTATTATTTAAAATTTAAGGTTGCAACATAAATTTAGAGAATCTTGAAATTATGAGTTGGGAGAAATTATGTTTAGAGAATCTTGAAATTTAAGTTGGCTCAACTATTTACAGGCATTCGCCCTCTAAATTTCAAGATTCTCTATTCTCCAAATTATGAGTTGGCTCAACTATTTACAGGCATTCGCCCTCCAAATTCGCCCTCAACTATTTATAAATTATGCAACAATCCAAATAAGTTGCATTTTCAAGATTTTTATATGTTTAAAAGTCTACTTGATCTTAACTATTTTCAGAGTTTAAAATTTTATAATTAAATATGAAAATTAAATACGAAAATAGATTTTGATATAATCCTAAAAACAATTACACTAAAATTACATATTATGATAAAATTTAGAAATGCGACCTATTTGGATTGTTTAAGGTTGCAATCTTATAGAAACCACACATTGTATTTAAAGATGCTTATTATTTCTTCCAAAATCACACCTGTTGTGACACCTACCTCTACTGTGAAATATGCAGTAATTGGAACAATTTTGGCAAGTAGACCATAAATAAATAAAAAGAAAAAGTTTATACAGTGCCGAGGCTCTAAACAATCTAATTAGAGCCCACCTCAAAAATTTCAATAGAAGAGGTTGTTTTGATGCCCAAATATCCCCAAATTGATCGTCAGCATAAACATGAGAAAAAAATGTATTTCAAGTTTTGAAAATAGTGCATCTTGTAATACATTTTTAAACCGTCAATTTTCAAGATTCTCAAGTTTTCATAGATATGCTCGATCTACACTATTTTTTAAGCTTTAAATTTTATAATTAAAAATGAAAATACATTTTAAAGCTATCACAAAAATTTCATATATTAAAACCACCTTTCTCGGCACTATTTGAAGGAGCGCTTTACTTTAATTGTTTAGAGCCTCGGTTCTATACAAACCTTTTCTCAAGAGAACTTTTTAGAAAAAAAGTTTTAGGGGAAGTTCATTATGATTCATAAACCCAGAGACTTTGAAGTGACATGCCCAATCGCACACTTTCTCAAGACAACTTTTTACATCCACAACCAAATTCAACGTGACAATATTTTGCATCATTCCTCTATAAATAAAAGCATTACATGAAAGTAGAAAAAAATATGCTCTGCTCTGTAGGGAAAGAGTGCTTACGCTACAATGAATTTCACTATCTCTAAAAAAGTGAATTTCACAAAATGGATGGATTGAAGAGGTCATCCTGACCTTTTTCAGGGAAGAGCAGCCTTCGACCTCTCATCTAGGTGGCTTGCATGTGTGATCAAAAGGTGTAGAGAGAGAGGATTCACTCCTTAGCTCATCTGTCAGTTTTAATGAACATGATGTCTGATTTTGAGATTTGTGTTAGACCGTTTCTTCCTTTGTTTCCCTTGCTTCTCTGTTGTGTGTCTGGCTGCCCACGCTGCAAACACAAAGCTTGATGCATAATCCACACTAAAATATTGCCTTTCTGCGAATACAAAAGCTTGATGCATAAACCACTTTAAAATATTGACTTTCCGCAAATACAAAACTTGATTAATAAACCACTCCCAAATATTGACTTTCTCAACATATTGAGACTCTCTCTCTTGCCTGCGCATGCGCAAACAAAAATTCCTTTCCCAACTAAGAAATCCCTCTCCCTCATGTATACAAAACAAACAAAAACTAAGAAATCCCTCTCCCCCATGTATACAAAACAAACGAAAGACCCCTTACCAAACTCAGAAATCCCTCTCCCTCATGTACACAAAACAAACGAAAGATCTCTTACCAATCTCAGAAATCCCTCTCCCTCATATATACAAAACAAAGAGTCCTTCGCTAAACTAATCAATATCTCTATACACACACTGCTCTCCGAAACTACCTCCCTCTCTCTCTCTCTCTCTCTCTCTCTCTCTACTATATATACTCTTACTTACTTAACTTAACTAACGTACTTACTTACTACTACTACTACTACTACTACTACTACGTACTACTAACTAACTAACTA